CGAAAATCACATTGGTACACGGCGGGATTCGAACCCAAGACCTGTAGATTACAAGTCAAGTGTTCAAACCACTGAGCCACCGACGCTCTAATACTAAAACATTTAATTTTTTTTATAATAAAAGGGGGCAAACTATCGACGACAACACCGAGGTGGTCAACGACGCCATAGACATCCGCAACACCAGAGGAACTACAGATGCATTGCCGGCCTCTGAGGAATTAGTAGGTTCGCTTCTTGAAGGACCTTTTTAAACATGTAAAAGCATTTTAATGATAGTGGTCTTATCATCCTTTCTAAATTATATTAAAACTTAGGTAGATTGTAAGCGGCGCAGTGAAGCGTTTGGAATTCGTTTTAGGATTCGACTTAATAAACAAATAGGGCAAATACATTACAAAACAAAAATAATTTATACACAGCAATAAAAAAACCTTAGATTTTATAAAAATGAAATAAAAGTGGCCCTGTTTCTATAATTAAATAAATTACTTACTTTTCATCTTCGTCTTGATCATCATTTGCTTCTAAATTCTTTTCGTCCTGGAACAAAAAAAAATTGAAATCTACCTGCTATGCTAAATTAGAAAATTTAACTTGGGATCTAATTTTTAAATATTCATACATAATTTGGGGAAAGATATATACCTCTTGTGATTTATTATGCGAGCTAGAAGAATCACTGTCTTCTAATAAATCTTCTTTAGCGAGATGCACTCCATCTCCATTGAGAGCAGACATTGATACTGTTGGTAATTCTGTAAAAAAAAAAATTAAACATTTATTATAAAGTACATGAAGTATTTGTTAACAACGGGCTGTTCATACACTAGACAGAAGAGTGTGAGAAACTGTTATCTATACAAATATTATACAAAAGGAAAGATTTTTGTATGTATCGAAATAACTCAAAAACGAATGGGCAGATTTCAAAAATTATTTCCCCATTAAAAAGCTGCGTTATCGATGAGTAACATAGACTATATTTTTAAATTTCACGTGGACGAAGTAGCGAGCAACAACTAGTTATAAACATACCTTCGACCTCCTCTTCCAGCGCCTCCTCGCTGTCAGCGACTGACGCTGCGTCCGAGCTAGTCTCCGCCTTGAGGAGGTTCTCGGTGGCGATA